CTCAGATCTCTGCACGCATATGCTGTCGCGGTATTACAGCGAAACTACATCGAGGTTCTTTTTGAAGATATTTTGAAGACTTTGAGCAATGTGGATTTATCGAAATCGCCTTTTACCATCAAAAGACACTTAGTCGTGCAGTCGAACCATCATAGAAAACATTCGCGTATGCAGAACACGTGCAAACACATGGAAATATTTAGGTCTAAATTCGTCCTTTTCAGGCAATGTACAAGTATGCATTACCGGAGGAGATAATTTTTAGACATCCAGCCTGCGCCTTTTGTGGATTTTCCACTGGCTTTTTGGGCAACTTGAATGCACTTTTTTCGCGCATCCACTTGAAATAAGTTTCCCGCCCTGTTCTCCACTTTCGGTTTTCGTGCATGGTCCAGAAACAGTCATGCGTGACCATATGTCAACATCGTCTGTTTGACAGATGCATGCCGGCCAGTAAGCATTGGCGGATTTCAGCCAAAATCACCATCGTAGAATGAATAGGCCTTACGGTATTCTGTCTGGCACTGACTGCTTAGCAAATCTTAACAAGCAATCGAACATAGCACTAACGCACAGAGCCAACAGGCAAGAATTAACCGCCCAATTTCAGCTATGTTTGGATATTTTTAAGGAGTTCTGTCATGCTCCAGATAACTACGACTTCGAACATGAACGATGTCTCCTATTAATTCTTTCTTTGCTGTCGACAACTCCATAATTGAATTGAACAAACAATTTTTAGAGGTTGTGCTGGAATGACTTGATTATCCTTTTCTTATCAAGGCCACTACGAGGAATTAGTTGGCAACGTTCAGATTCATCAGTGCAACAGATCTGCTCGAATAAGGTTGCGTATGTTACATCTTAACCCACTATCAAAGGCATTATTGTGTGGGGTTTAGATCTCATGCGTGTTAAACTTCCACCTCCAAAACCAGGATAACTGTCAATGAATTTATGTGACGAGATACATGATTGACATAAAAGCCGTAGGTCATAGATTGGAGGTCGACGAAGGTGCCTTAAGTGTTGGATGACAGTGGAGTTCCAAAGGGATTCCTGCTAACGTTTTAGGTTTTTTCATAATATCAGGTTTGAAAATGTCCTAACCTTCAATAGAGGCATGCGAACTGCAGCATAAGCTTGTGTCGATTCACAAAAACATTACCCAAACAAATCCAACTGTACGTTGATACGTGTGTAAAGCGTCCAGGTAAATTTTGGGAGCAAAAGATGCATAGCCACATTAAGCCTCTTTAAAATGTATTTCTGCGGGGGGCATGTAGTATATAACACATTTTTCTGTGTCCGCTAAAGGGAAACCTGAGGCGACCGCCACGTAATTCGCATTAAAGCAATATCTACTTAGACGGTAAATGCGGTTCTTTGCAGATCAGTACTTTCGCTAGGCAAAGGCAATTTTGCACACTGGCACTGCGGGCGACATGGCCATGCAGAAAACTGGTGGTTAAAAAATTTCACTGAATGGTAACATAGAACCTAAATTTACTCACAAATTAATGCTCACACTTTGGACTCAGGGAATTAGCATTTGCTTCTGAAATATCTCATGGTAGTGTAGGCGCCAGATTTGAAGCAACATCCAAAAATAAATTGTTTTTTTGAAATAACACGAAGGTCTCTAACATCAGTATATGGATGCAGAATGTTTCTCAGGTAATATTTCGGAAAACGCATAAATATAAGAACTAATTTTCCAAAATATGTTGCCAAGTCTCATGCTTCTACATTATTAATGGTGCTGGGAAATAGCATTTTTGCGCAGTACTTTCATAAACGGGCGTTTATTACGAAACAGCCAATGCAATTTATCGGACGTAGATATCGAAAAAAAAATTATCGCCGTTTTTGGTCTATTTGATATGCAGTAATAGATGCGTATATCAGACCACCAATGCCTCTTCCGCATCGAATTAAATCCAGTACATTTTGCTTCTTTTGTTTTTATATTTTATTTCCAACTCCCTTACCATCAATTATCTTTGCTGCAAACAATCTGCAAGTGTGTTTACAGCTTGCTATTTGTGGTACTTATTAATATTTTTCAAGATTCTTTCTTTATTAACAGAGACTCATTTAGATTTGAATTGCAATTCATCTATAACTCTCTACTGACGTCGTGGTTTCAGAAAGATGCAACGTTTTTCTGGTTTAAATTAAAGCTAATTTTGAGTTATGCTATCTTTTTGCTGTACTTAAATGTCCGTGACAATATGAGAGCACTCTTTGTCTAGCCGCCTAACACTGCTTGACAAACATAAAGCGTATTTCGCTCATCGCCCAAAGACCTGTACTTGGAACAGAGCTTACTGTCAGAGGGTGTGCATTCTCGGAATAGCACTAACAGTCACCTCTTCTTTCACTTCAAACGCCTTACACACGAGATATGTACGACACACCCTTCTGATCTCCAACTAATCGATATAGCCTTTAATGACTGTCAAAACTAGCAGAGGTTTCAGAAGAGCGAGGCTGATGCTGTTGAAGAAAGATTAAACTATATTTTTCATATCAAAGGGCGTACTTTGCGAGTGATTATTTCTTACTTAGGCCCAGTTGGTGAGTTAGTGTGATCAAATGTCTACATGTGCTTGCTGAATTTGCAATGAAATATGAGACCCATAGGTGACTTAAAGACTATGTACGGCAAAGCAGTCGGCAACAGGAATAACCAAACAGCACACATTTGCCTGCGATGAAGACCGTAGGTTTTAGCCTAACTTAATTCCTCACGAGTGAGAACGCGCTTCGGAGAACAAAAATGTAGTTCATATTTCCCTTCATTGAAGAGCTAAACTAACCGAGAATAATGTTGTAGACCACGGTTTCAATTGAATTTTAAGCAGAATTTACGAAATCAAACGTCAGTTTGACAGACTAGAGTACGATTCCTGCTCAAAAATTAAACACTTTGCTAAAGCTGTGTAACTCCTCTTGGGTAGGCCTGTTGCTTAACAGTTTGTCTTATGGCATTTCGTGTGTTATGAAAGCCATGAACCATTTAAGTTTGGTAGACATCTTGCGAGTAAGAAGATATCAGCATATAATGCTATGTAATATTAAATAATATTATGCGGCCGACTACCAGCATTCGTCGCTGCTGTTTCCTCTAACTTTTTTAAAAACTTAAATTAGCAAAACCACTGTCACTAAGGGTGAAGAGGCGCTGTGATTCATAAATGACTGCCATGGATAAATTTCTGGAAAATCGTCACGTCACTTCAGTTAATTGCACTAGCACAGCACATGCCAAATACTACGAGCTTAATAAAGAACTTTGCAAAACAGTAAATTGTGTCAAACTGTCGATGCCGAAATCATGCTCAAATGCATATACTACATTTTCTGACTGATAGCAGCAATAGTAGAAAGTACCCTTCTTGGAAGAGACCCGACATTAGGCAATGTTTTAACTTCTTAGCAAACATTATCTAACGATAGTCGTGCAATCTCTTTAAAAGGCATTTTCATCTGAAATGAGATAGCCTTGCTTCTGCTGAAAACGCTCTAAATGCGTAATAAGGTTTTTTTCATAAAAAAGAAGACCACAATTCATAAATCATTAATGTTTAAGCTAATAGATGAGATATCATTAGATTCGAATTGGCCTTACATGCGCAGATGTAGATTCGTTTGTCAAATGGCAAAGTGTATGAAATGATTTGTCTATTCACGTTTGACGATCTCCACTGAAAGTAGTTCTGAACATGAATTTTTCTAACAAAAACTGATCAGTAATATTCTTTATTCGACAAAACGCACTTGCGTTAATTAACCGTAGACTTGAGTATACCCGCATCTAAAATACTTCACTGTTGAAGACGATATAAGGTCAACACACTCAAGCATTCTCTCAAGAGTTTCAAGGCCCTTAATAACGTCCTCATGAGCCTGTTCGATCGTATTACTTGTCTGCCCTGTTTTCTTGGCATGACCTGGAAATTAGAAGCGCAATCCGACACCTGCAATATAGTGTGAAAAACTCCAGTGCGACATATCGAAGAAACGCTTAGACCCTTTTTCAAGAACTATTGGAAATCAAATGGAGAGTTTTATTAACAGCTTAAGAACTCCTAAATATCGGATCATCTCTCCAAACTGGTATAAAATGAGGAGAAGAGAAGACTCCTTGAACTTATTGGTTAAAGACGTGGGTCCAAAACGTATATAATGTATTTTTATCATAAAGACAGTTGCTTCAGTGTTTTAATGGTGTTATGCCAACTATGAAACAGGAGGTATCCTCCGGTGTCCAGATGTGAGCATTTAAAAAAGTGGTGATGGAGAGTAAACCGAAGAGGTTATTATGCTAAAATCATCCTTAAGTATGATATAGATTATACTGCAGCCCACAAAAAAAGCTGCCTCAGCACCCGTTTACACCAGAAGCAGCGATGATTTAATTAAAAAAAGAAGTTACCCAAGCTGGAAAAGAGCACCGCCAACTTTGCAAAAATCGGGTTCAGATATCGCATACAACCGCAAAGCTTCGACTCTAATGGAGGAAAACAATGCACACATCCAACTCCCACCCTACATGCGGGGAATTTCTGAAGTATTTTATCAGCAGTTAAATCGGCTTGGCATCTCAGCTGTTCATAATCCGGTGTCGTCACAGAGCGCAAAACTATCTCCTATAAAAGACTCATAATAAGAGGGCGGCATTATAATGCTATCCAACGTATCCCGTGTGCTAATGTCGCGAGCGCTAAAGACAGGACCGTCAATCTCAGACTATGAAAATCAGGATAAGACCAGAGTTATGAAAGAATTTACAATCAAAAGTCAAACGACCTGACAATCCCACTCATGCCAAGCGCGTCGCGTCGAGTTTTGTGCTCCTTCCATTCAGTTAAACAACCAGTAAGTTCAAGAATGAGGAACATGTAGGGAAAGGAAAGATAGTCTGGCGCCTCGGCACAGTACCCCCCTCGGAGACCGGAGGCCGGCGAAAACGGCGCCGAAGGATGTGTACAGGTCTAGAAGAAATGAATGTAACCGATCAGGAAAGTGTACATGACGACCACTGCGAGTGATAAATACAGGGTCCGTAGAAGAGTGAATAAATCTGGTGGCGGCAGTGTTGGAGTTGGTGGTGGCAGTCGGAGGTGGCGGACAGGAGGGCAGCGGGAAATACGGGACGGTGGAATAAAGGCTGCATGGGGGGAAGCAGAAGGTAGAGGACCACAGGGCTCATCCGGAGGAGTGTCAGTGACGACAGCCTTGGGGCGGTCCACACTCACGACCTCTTCACGATTGTCGCGCTGAATGCGGGAAGTCTTCGGCCCGCGAGAGAGCATCCGAAATGAGCCGTCATAGGGCGGTTCCAGAGGCCGACGGACTTGATCACATCGAAGGTAGACGTGAGAGCACGTTGCCAAGTCCTTCTCGAGATATGACGGAGAGGCGGAGGACCTTGGAGGAACCGGAGAAAGTGTCTGCATAAACTGCCGAAGGCGATGCAGCAGGTTGGTGGGATCCTCAACCGCTCATTTTGGGGTTGGCGAGAACATCTCACCGGGAAGTCGGACGTTGGAGTCGAACACCAGTTCAGCTGCGGAACAGTCAACGTCCGGCTTGAGAGCGGAGCGGATGTCCAAGAGGACCAGGGGAAGGTGGTCTGTCCAGTTCTCCGGATCGGCCGCGGAGCGTAGGGAAGCCTTCAGCCGGCGGTGAAACCGCTCGACCATCCCGTTAGCAGCCGGGTGATAGGCTGTCGTCCGGATTCGTGTACAGCCTAAAAAGGAGAGTAAAGACTGAAAGAGGTTAGTCTCAAACTGGGCAACACGGTCAGTCGTGATTGTGGAGGGTGAACCAAAGATAGCAACCTAACGACTGAGAAAAGCCTTGACCACCGTTGGAGCAGCAATGTCAGGCAGAGGAATTGCTTCAGGCCACCGAGTGAACCGATCCACACAGGTGAGGAGATAGGAACAACCATTGGACAGAGGCAAGGTGCCTACAATGTCCAGGTGAACGTGGCTGAACATTGAACCAGGGCCCGGGAAGGTGTCAGTGGGGGCCTTGTTGTGCCGCTGGATCTTGCTCCATTGACAGGCAATACAAGCCCGTGTCCATGCCTTGAGGCCCTTGTGCATACCAGGCCAGACGAAGTGGTCGGAAACCAGCTTGTCGGTTCCTCGACTCCCAGGATGAGACAGATTGTGCAGGGAGGAGAAAACTTTGCGCCGGAGAGATAATGGCACAAATGGACGATGGGAAGGGGTGGATACGTCGCATAATATGGTGCCGTTGCCAGTTGTCAGTGGTAGTTCCTGAAGTTGGAGTCCGGAAACATCCTTATCACAAGGTGAACCGACACGGCGTTGTTCAGCGGCCATCTCAGCGAGGTCTATCCCGGGTGAAAGCTGAAGATGAGCAATTGAGGGGCTGGACAGTGCGTCAACCACCTCATTGATTGACCCGTCGATGTGGCGGATGTCTGAGGTAAACTGTGAGATGTAGTCTAGTTGATGGATTTCCCGGGGGTTTAGTTTGTCAGTGTGGGAAAGAAGTGCAAAAGTCAACGTTTTGTGGCCAGTGAAAACGGTGAAGTCACGACGTTCAAGGAACTGCCGGAAATGCTTCACAGCCAGGTAAATGCAAGTAATTCACGGCCAAAGGTACTGTAGCGTGTCTCAGCTGGTAAGAGCTTTTTGGAGAGAAAGGCAAGTTGTTGAGTCGAACCAGCAAGGTGTTGTTGAAGGACTGCACCTACGACAACGGTCGAATCATCTACCATCATAGACAGCTGAGCTTCGGGACCGGGATGCGTGTGTAAGGTGGCATCAGCGAGAAGTCTTGATTCTCTCAAAAGCAGTCAGTGTTTCACCAGTCAGCTCGAGGGGACCTTTGGGACCAGAAAGCATGTTGGTGAGCGGCAACATGAGATCAGCAGAGTTCGGTAGGAACCGGCTATAAAAATTGACCATGCCGAGGAATCGCTGTAACTTACGCTTGGAAGTTAAAGAAGGAAAATTACGAACTGCTTCAACCTTAGAAGGGTGGTGACGCAAACCTTCAGAGTCAACCTGATGGCCGAGGAACTCGAGTGAAGGCACACACAACACGCACTTGGAGGGGTTGATGACAACGCCAAACTTGGCAAGACGCTCAAACACCAAGGCAAGATGCTCTGTTTGTTCTTCCTCATTCTGGCTGGCCACCAAGAGGTCATAACTGTAGGCGTACACAAATGGTAGGCCACGTATGACATGGTCAATGAACCTTTGGAACGTTTTGGCGACATTACGAAGACCGAAGGTCATGCGTACGAACTCAAAGAGACCGAAGGTTGTGGTAACGGCGGTTTTAGAGATGTCCTCAGAGGCGACTGGAATCTGATGATAAGCACGCACCAGTTCAATCTTCGAGAAAACCGCTTTGCCGAAAAGAGCTCCAGCAAAGTCCTGGAGATGAGGTGCGGGGTACCTATCAGGAACGGTAGCGCTGTTGAGGGCACGATAGTCGCCACAGGGTCTCCAGTCGCCTGTTGTAGTCTTGGGCACCATGTGCAGTGGGGACGCCCAAGGGCTCTCGGACGGTCGAATTCTTCCCAGTTGCAACATCTGTTCAAACTCTGCCTTCGCGGCCAGAAAACGCTCCAGTGCTAGTCGTCTCGGTCGAGCAAACGCGGGAGGGCCGGTGGTCCGAATGCGGTGAACAACGCCATGTGGTGGAATAGAAACGTGGAATTTGGGACGAGTGAGGGTAGGATATTTTGCTAAATGTCTACGAAATGGACATTCAGGGTTTAGGTCAGGGACAGAGAGTTGGTTAGAAGCTGAGGATGGAGGAAATCCTTTGACGGTGAGGATAGGTGCGCGATCATGGAGACGAAGTTGTCTGCTATCCACCAGAAGCCCAAAGGCGGCCAAAAAATCAGCACCACGGATAGCAGTGGGAACATCAGCAACCACAAATATACAGGGGAATAATCGCCGGAGACCAATATCCAGAGAGAGGGATCGAAATCCAAAGGTTGTAACGGGGAATGAGTTTACGGCTTGAAGGTAAAGACCATGGTTTGGGCAACGTCGGTCGGCTGGCGTGGGAGGGATAACACTAAGTTGAGGGCAAGTGTCGACTTAAAAATGCCTGCCACTCGTGATATCACTCACGTAAAATGTGCCACCCGTAGAGTTGTCAGGGAGCTCGGCCGCATTTACTCTCCCGCCGAGGAGTTTCCCTGCGTGGACTTGAAGGAACAGGGTGGGACACAGCGCCACGCCTTGTCGCCATAGTTGACATGATACCAACATAGGTTAGCGGTCCTGGGGCGAGAGCGGGAACGACGTCGGTCACGGCCGAAGGAACGTCGAGAGGGACCGGGGGATCGGCGCATCTGCAAAGCGGCAACAGTCGCTGACAACTGCGCAATCTGTGTCTTTAGTTCTGCTAGGTCAGAGGTGGACACGTTGAGAGGCTGTGACACCTGAGCAATCGTCGGGGATGACAAACGCTCAACCTCCATCATACGGTCAGCCATCTCCGCTATCTTTGATATTTCTAGGTCGTCGGAGCCAGAGGCCAAGATTGTTTCTACCGACGACGGTAGACGTTCTAAAAACCTCTCTTTAAAGAACTTGTCGTCGATTTTCATGTTTCAACGGCTTGCGATCACCTTAGACCTCCTCTTTTACTAGCGTGTGATAAGGCTGCCGATCGGAGACTGATATCAGGCGAAGAAGTTCAGCAGTTAACTTGGTGTAGAAAGCATCAGTCGGGGGATCTCTCAGAAGCGTCTGCATTTGAGAAAAAATGCTGGGAGGGAGGGCCTCGACCAGCTTATAAAACTTGTCGGTTTCACGTGCTATCTTGGCGGAGTGAAAAGTCGCCTCAATACGAAAAAAATAAAGCTATGGCGCATGTTGCCAAAAGTCTGGAAGAGAAGAAACAAGTCAACTGAGAGAAGAAGTGGGATCGTTGGAATTCGTAGAGATCATGCTTGTAGAAAGAAAGAAGACAAACGGGCCGTATGCAAATTGAATGTCCACAAATTAAAGGTATAAGCGTGAACGTCAAAGGGTCACCAATGTCGAGAACGCTAAAGACAGGACCGTCTATCTCAGTCTATGAAAATCAGGATTAGACCAGACTTAGGGAAAAATTAACAATCAAAAGTTAAACGACCTGACAATCCTACTCATGCCAAGCGCGTCGCGTCGAGTTTTGTGTTCCTTCCATTCAGTTAAACAACCAGTAAGTTCAAGAATGAGGAACATGTAGGGAAAGGCAAGATAGTCTGGCGCCTCGACACACTAACTGCTCGTTCACTTACGCTGGTCATGCAAACCGCATAAACAAACATCAACAGGCCATCTGACGACATGACCCCTTGTAAATTATATTAGCGCAGACCCTTGACTGCGACCATCACTGTGATTCGGACAGTAAAAGGAAGCCCAGAGCTACTCAAATCCTCTTATACTATTACGACCAATATAAACCGCCACGTCGATCCGAACGCTCGTCACGAATATCTGCTTCCTCGGCTCACTGACTTGCGCCCACGACCTGACAGCAGCCGTTGATCCTTGCTGGGACATGCAGAATTCCGCCGCCTGGTAACCCCAGACACGGCGAACCACAGCCACAACACTTAACATCTCCGACATCGGTGCACTGAAATGGCCGTAAATTCCTTAGTCCGCAACCCCCTTGAATCTTCATCCCCCAACACCCTTAACAGCAACAGTTCTCTCTCCTTCAACTCGCCTAAAAATCTGGTTAATTACGTGTTTCTCTGCCTCACACACTTGTTTTCTGTCTGCCAGTATCTGTCCCGTCAGGCCGGCCAGGCCAGCCTGATCATTTCAGGCTATTGTCTGTTAATCTCGTTTGACGAGGAGTCAATGTGTCCAACTTAAAAATTCACGATCACCCGACGGGTCTTTTCCATTCCTGATATCTACGCGTCCTGCGCCATCTCCTCCTCAACAAATCATCCGTCTGCGATTATTTTCTTCGGGCTGCTCCTTGGTTTTGTGATTAATTTTGCTCCACGCATTCAAATCGTTAAATCTGTTACCGGGGAATTTACTTACTTACCCATCAACCATGAAGTTCCAGGTTTCATCAAATCTCCTCACATCCCCTCCCTTCACATACTTACATTGAGATTAAAAATTGGAATTAGGTTTGGAGACAAATTGAGCAGCTTGATGGGGTGGCCCTGAATATTCATTCGGGGTTAATGGCCATATTGGTTTTCCTGTAAATCGTCGAACGTTGCAGAAGCAAATCTTTGTGAAACCAAGGTAAGAAGTGAGTTCATGTCAAATGATGACACGATCTTAAATGCCTCAGTATATAAAACACAAAGTCCTAAATAAATTGACGGTTGAGCGAACCGTTGTATCGGAGCCCAAAATGAGTCAGTTCAGACCTCGGATAAGTTATTGTTGGTCGAGTGTAAGGTACGTCTTAAAGCATAAGCCTATGAGATCGAGTACGACAGTGGCGGGAATGTTAGTGACCTATCACAGCTGGACTTCCTCTGTGCATTTTTTCATAAAACACAACGATCAAGACATGGAGAGGAAAACAACATCAACAGTGACCATCACCTCTTTAGTGGAAAGTGCATTACCTGTATTTTATTTAGTAATCCCGTTTAGTTTTCATCTGCTATTTCACGATCCACTGATAACGGATGAAGCTTTTGGAACTATCCTTTGGAAGTTTGGTGGTTAGTGACTGAGCAGTCCATAAATCTCAACGACGGCCGGCTCGGTTTGTCTGGGAGATTTTGCAATATTTCCCAACATCTTTCTCTTCCCTGTAAGAGGCCTAAACCTTTATTTATTGTGGGAAGTCTGTGCTTAAGTGGGGTGCGTAGAGAGTGGTTTATACGCAGATGCATAAAACAGCAGGTATCTATGTAAAAGGACTCAGTTATTTCCAATGAGACACTTAAAGTAAATACTTGGAAAACTATTTCTTACACTACGATTATGTCTGAACTCGTTGACAGGCACTTCAGGAAACACATGCGACTATTGTGCTCTCCCGGTTGATGCATTCTAATAATATGATTAAGCAATTAATCAAGAAAAATTTCCTTGACAAAATCCCATATGATGCATGTGCTGCCGTTTATTGGACTGGGAGTACCAGTATCAACAATGCACTTAATAAAGCTTCCTTGTCTGCAAGACCCTTTCTTGATCCAACTTATATTACCTAGGATGCTTATTTTCCAATATATATATATATATATACATACATACATATGTACTGGAACATGGGCATCCTAAGAACATATTTCGAAAACTGGGTCCCTTGAACGATGGGACGAACTTTATCTCGTACATTACTGTACGCTAGTTGTTCAGGTACGATAAACGGGTTATATAGCATAGGTCGGGAATTTCTAGAAGCCATCCACTTTGAAGACTCATTCATCAATCGACACATCAATCAGGACGCCATGTACGGAACTTTCGGAAGGAAGTAGAAAAGACAATTGAAAACATTACGTCAGCCCACATCGTCGACCTATCTCCAGCAATGACAAATCAATATCGACTTTTCGGGCATGTTTACGTTTTAACTGTCATTTTATTACAATTGTTACACATCTGACGACGATTTTTGGAATTAAATTCGAAGATTTAAGAAATACATGTTGTATAATTTCCCAAATGACTCAATTTTTTTAAATATATACATATATGCCGATTTTTATGCTGCTTCAAATTTTAACTGTTTTGCATAAACACGTTAATAGACGATTTGGGGAGCTAAAGCCAACAATTTGTAAACGGTTTTGCCTTTTTTTCATAAGGACTTATTTTTTGAAAAAAATAAAGTCAGGCAAATAAAATGGTAGAAGGAATTACATTTGACATACACCTACATTATGGATTCTAACGCATGGAATGTTTTTAAATAAGAAAAGACTAATTTTGTTAGGAAATTTGATTACTGTGTGAAATAACGACGAATATATCTGCACATTAAGAGGCCGCTTTTGAATCCAGGTAGTATTCGGCGGTCTACAAAATCATGCACGACATAAAATAACCGCTCAATTATTATGTATTATAACAAAAAAGTCGTACCGTACTTTTATTCCAACGATATCTTAAAGAACTTATCACTTAAAAGTATTCTGTGTAGACGCACTTGGCAGCAACATATGCATAAATCATATAGGGACACTTTCCTAGGACAATGTACTTTTCGGCCACAGTGCCTTGCATCTAATGGTGTTTTTTAATACAATACATGGTGCACAACCACTTCACTTTCTTGTAAGCCAAATAGTCTAGCGGGAATCAGACATAATGTAGTCTGTTAACGCAAAGCCCTAATATAAACGCTGATCAGGGTGAATTATACGGAAAGTTCAACGATTTGCAAAAAACTAAGGATATACTTTTTTCAAGAATGCAACTTAAGAAAAGCACAATTTGCCGCCAAATGTGCTCAGAAATGTATATTGTATATTTGTATATTGTATATTTAAAATAGATGTGAGCATTAAAAAAGCCTTTTAAAACCAATTTGAGAATTTTGGTTAACATCGCATGAGATAAAATGGTTATTGTAATTTTCCGTCTAAATTTTGACGCATGGTGAACCCAACAAATCTTATTCTGTAATTCAAAAGAACAGGGCTGACTTAGTAATTGTCTAACAGGCGCTTGTGAAGTGCTTGTGGAAAGTTGTTTGAGAAAGTCGCTACAATTGATTTAAGGAATTGGTTGCCTACATATCCAAACATAAATAACAACACATTAATGTGTCGCCTCCAGTTTGGTGGGAGATTTTCAAAATGATCTATCATTAAGTGCAGAACGATTTTGTTTCTCGACTCACGCATCCGCTATTTAAATAAACACACCTGGGCAAGATATAGGAAAAAATGATTTATTTAAAAAATACGCCAACTTCGTATTCTATCGCTTAGTTACGACCTGATTCAAATACAGTCTTTGTCTACCACTGCGCTGTCTCCACATAGAGAGTTTGAATTATTTAAACTCCCGCTTCAACCCAAGCGCAGAAGTCCTGAGATTGTTTAACACAGGAAAGAAACCATGTTTGCCATACCGGCTATAGTCTGCAAGTATTTTATCCATTAAAACTACCACAGAATCAATCCTTTTATGCGGAATTACACGATTTACTTAGCCAACGCAACTTCGAAGCGATTATTACGTAAACTCCGCCTGAAAAATGTGTGACTGCAGATATTTACTATAACTCATATTTGCAAATTCAAAATGATTGCTTTCTAAAGACCTAAGCCTGCAATTAGAGTAGTTCTTTTGATAACAGCCACGACTATTTTGATACAAAAGCCAAGTAATAATCATTCGTTGCCTCTCGTTTGTTCTTCTGAAAAAATGACGGTTTGCCAAATCGTAGTTCAGCCGTATATTCCAGATATTATATATATATATATATATATGTTTATATCTGACGTGCCATAGACCGAATGCCAATTTACTTAACTTCAGTTTGTGATTTTTGTAAAATGCGGGACATCATGCTCCATCGTTGTTTAATTTAACAGTTTCACGCGTATTTAAAAGTTTGTTATCACATACGAGGCTCCCTTATATGGCACAGAACGTTGGAATATCCTTACCC